GAGAGGCTGTTCATTCAAACCGGGAGAAAGAGGCGAATGCGTTGTTCGCGATCGGACTGGGGCAGTATTTGGTGAAACTATGTGGGATGAGAGAGGATTGTCTCTGCGTTTGCAAGTGATTGGAAGGTAGTAATCTCGCCTCTTAATTAGCTGCTTTTCACTTTTGGTACTAGACTTAACTCGGAAGGTGTACTTATATGTCTTTTAGTTTGGATTTATTTGGTTTGCAGTTTGTTTGTCTAATTCATATTCTGCTACTGCAGTATGAATTCTTTGAGCCTAGATTTCAAAAACAATTTTTTTGCACTGCTTTTGTCAAGTTTTGTTAATGGTGAAAAGGGCTCGAATTTTAGTTACAAACAAAGGTATTGTGAGATTATGTATGTTGGAAAGGAGGCAACAAACAAGCGAAGTTATGTAGAAGGAATTGAAACTGAAGGTAGCGTCACTTAACCGGGGGAAACCCATTTCAATTAAACTAGACTTAACCAAATTTGATTTCTCTAACAATTTACTCATCCCAACTCTCGAGTCTGTGTTGAGTTAGGGAATTAAAATTAGACGCATTTGGAGCTGAGCCGAATAATTGATTGGTTAAATATAATAATATCCCCCCAATCGCAGTAAAACCGAACCCAATAACCAAGTCTAAACCATAAATGTCTTACACCTGAAACGACTCATTTGGTGATTTTCAAAAATTGAACTTTAGGGTTTACGATTGGGTATAATCCTTCATCAATGTCACTTAAGAGTATTAAATAGAAAGCTGATTAGAGAAAATCCTGACACTTACGGCAATGGCGGCGAAGAATATACAAGACGTTGTTTCCGATGACCTGAACTATGAAATCTGGGCTCCAATTGTGAAAGGTACATTGATGAAGAAAGGACTTTGGGATGGGGTCGAAAACGGAATCCCGCCGGATCCATCGACGATTCAAGCCGAACAACTTTCCAAATGGAGAGATCTCGCGGTTAAAGACATGAAAGCGCTACAGATTTTGCAATCTTCTCTCACAGAATCTGTTTTCAAAATGACTCTCTCGGCTTCTACGGCCAAAGATCTTTGGGATTTGCTCGAAATGAGTAACGAACAAGCCAAGGAAGTCGAAGCTGATCACCCAATGTTATCCGTAACTTGTGTTGATTTCACATTTGACGAGGATATGTGGATGATATACTCCACAGCCACAGGGCTCGTGTAGCATTGGCTGACGGATCAATCA